TACTACTACTACAACTACAACTACAGCAACAACAACAACAACAGCAACTACTACTACTACTACTACTACTCGCTGCGTGCTGACGCCACTAGTAGCGGATCCACCCTTGTGAGAAGCAGTGCCAGGACATTTCATGACAGCTTGCAGATCTTGGTTGACCTTTGCAAGTTAACGTGAAGTCATGAGATGCTGTAAATAGCCGATGCATGAAACCTCCTGCATTTGCTTGGGCCTCCAAAGCAAACTTTGACCCTGGGTTCATGGCTCATGACTGCTCCCTTGGGCGGCCCTTGGGGTCTGGGGTCTTTTTAGGGTTTTGTGGTTGGGTTTAAGGTTCGGGGTCCTCACGGCTAAGGCTTGGTTAAAGGTTCACTTGGGATTGTTTAGAGATTGGGCTTATTCAAGCTTAGGGTGTCGTTTATGGCCCAGGGTTTGGGCTGCTTAGGGTCAGGGTTTTGGATTGGTTAGGGTTTGGGCCTATCTTCTCTGCAGTTTAGGATTTGTGAGTCGGTTTCGTAGGTTTGGGGTTCGCGGTTGGTCCCGGTTTGGGGTCTTCGGGGTTTAGACTTTTGGGTTGTTCAGGGTTCTGTAAGTTTCAGGTTTGGGGCTGTTTGGGCTTGGTTGTTCAGCCTTTTGGATGCAAAAACTTACGGTTTGGGGCTGTTTGGGCTTTCGGATTCGGGTTGTGGGATTGAAGGATTTTGGGTTTAAGGTTTGGGATTGCTCAGCGTTCCGTTTTAGTCGTGTCGGGGTTGGAGTTTAGGGTTACATAGCTTCGCGGTTGTTTTAGGTCGAGGGTTTGGAATTGCTCATGGTTTAAGATTTGATTGGGGTTCGGGACTTGTTGAGTTTTTAAGATCATGGTGTTGAGTTGTTTACGGTTTGGGGCTTGGGTTGTTTAGGATTTGAGCCTTTAGTTGGGTCGAGTTTGCTTAGCGTCGGTCGTTGGCTACGTTTTGGGCTTCTTCATAGTTTAGGGCTGGGTTGTTTGGGGTTTTGGGTTCTCTAGGTTTGCGGTTGTTTAGGCTTTGGTTTGGGGTTGTGCGGTCTTTCGGGTTCGACTTGTTTAGGGTTGACGTTAAGGCTGATGGCTATGATGGCTTGCCGTTGTTTGAGATTTTGGGTTCGTCAGGTTTTGAGGTTATTTGTTTGGGGTTCGGGTTGTTGTGGGGCTTTAAGTCACGGGGCTGGGTTTGAGGGCTTAGTTTCTGGCGCCGGGTTTAGGGTTCAGGGTTTGGGTTTTTTTTATTGCATTTGGCCCGTTGGGGTTGGGTTGTTGAGGGTTTTGGGTTTTAGCATCGTTTAGGGTTCGAGGCGGCTGAGGTAGGTAAGTCCTAAACAGCCGGAAGCCCGAAAGGATCCTCAATTTCGTATCGACCACAGCAACTTCAGAATCTGCTGCGAGCCGTCCGTCGACCCCAAATCCTAAACTCGATAGAAGCCACAACAACTCTCAAGGCGGATTCGCGCGGGCCTACACAACAAAACAATACATGCTAGGCTTGCAAGTGGATGTGCACTGAACCCGGCAGTCAGATTATTGACGCCATCTAGAATGCGGCACGGGCTGGTGCTGCATCGTTTTCGCTGGGGCATGAGCAGGGAAATGGCGGTTACATTCTAAAACTACGAGCGCATCGATGGGATAGATATGCAGCGTCGTAGAGGTGCGTAGAGGTGCGAGAACAGCACCTCTGAATCGCACCTGGCCCGCTGCAAGCGGAATTCTGTCCTGCTGCCCATGCTGCGTGGTGCTTCCTCAAGGGTGCATCAGCGCACTTCGTCAGATCCAGACTTGTTTTGCGCATGTCACGGCTCTCTTTTGGCGTCGCATCAGAAACGTCAGAAACCTGCGTGGCTCCTTCCCAGTTCGGCTGGTTTCACGCACTCCGTCTGTTTTTTTGGAAGATAGTACTGGACACATGAGAGAAACTGCTGCCATGCTTGACATTCCGTCCAAAGTTGAAGAGTGCAAGTTGTTTTGCACGCGATCTTCTGCGGGCTGGTTGGTTCAGGCAACGCTGCGTCTCACCCATAGGTCCTGTCCATGAGCATCGGGCAGGGCAAGGGTTGGCGTTGATGGCCAGAAGGCTCGCAGGGGCAGCATTTGCATTGCCAAGATGTGCTGTGAGATCGGAGTTCGCAAGCCTCATGAAGGCGTTGTCGCCGCTGACATCGCGCGTGTGAGGAGAGTGCTCAATCTGAAATGGCACCCGCTGTCGGGTGACGCTTGGGGTTGTGCGCACAGGCTTCGTGCCTTAGTCCACTGTCAACTGTCGTAATGGTCGCGGGCCCGAGATGCAAAGCATAGCCACGTCATTCCGAAACCGATTGACCTGTATTCGGGTAACTGTGAGTGCTCAGGCGGCTGATGCAGCTTTGGCTACTTTGACCGCTGGCGGCCAGCAGTCCAAAGATGCAGAGCAAGCCACAGACTTAGACTTAGGTGCTAAATGCAGCTGGCAAGTTTTTACGATACTCTCGAAGCATTTGACAGTGTTGCATGTAAGTGCACACCGAGGCTCATGCCAACCAAGGTGCAGTGTGCAGCAACTCCCTGTTTACTTTCCTTTCCAGTGCCTCTGCTTTGAAATCTTCACGGATTGGATGCTCGGTACTCAAATCCATTTTCGTGTGACAAAGCCAGGCACCGCGGACACGCTTCAAGTGGTGCACATGAACACCATCGAGTCTGTCATGATTCAGGCCGTGTAGAAATGTCGTTGTGTCGCAACTCAGTCTTTTTCCGTCCAGGTCGATCGGTGCGCATCAGGCCCGGTGCCGCCAGCGGCTTGCTGCACTTGACTCGAAACGAACGACCCGACCACAACTCAAAGCCAAGGCCCGGTGCAGTTGCAGTGGCAGCAGAGAGCCTTCTACTTACATTCACAGAGGCGTCCAAAAACAGAGCACTCAGCCTTGCAGCATCTTGTCGCTTGACTGAGGCATGATCTGCAGAGGCTGGCGGACAGACAACTCCAGCCATCTCCAGCTTCTATGCTTTAAGCCCTCCTGTCGAGGACCCGAGGATGGTGAGTCGATGCCTTTGTGGCAGTGCATGTTCTATGGCTGACTTTGACCGGTTTGCTGCCCTAGCTCCGTATCGTCGGAATGGCACCTCTCTGCCTTGTCCCAGCCCTTGCGCACCCTCAAGACAAGAACAGGCGAAGCGCACCTGTTTGCAAGGTTTTTGATCTGCGAAAGGGCTTTCTAGGGCTTGTTCCGTTGGTCAGCTTGAGGCCGCCAGAAGAAGCCTTCTCTGGGATCACGTCAAGCCGGCCTGTTTGCTGGCAGAAGATTTGCTTTCGAAACGGCGACACCAACAGGCTACCTGTGAAGTCCGCACTTGACTTGAAGCAAGAAAGGCTCTCACTGTTTGGTGCCACAAACTTCTGGGAGTTGGGAAAAACAAGAATCGTTCCCGAAGGCTTATTGGCTCCGTGACGAAGTACCTTCCTGTCAGTGGCTACGGCATGGTGAAAAGCGCGCCTGCAAGAAGCGGAGCTGATTGTCGTTGAGTCCCATTGCCTAATGACCGTTTCAGGTCACATGTTCGAGGGCGAGCTGATGTTCAGGATAGATCGAATAATGCCGGAGTTTCAGGTCCGACCCTGGGATTCAGAACGACTCCGGATTCGAAAGTGTTGGATGTACAAAGTGTGATTAGATCTGCGTACAGATGCCACGTCCAGGCTCATCCCCTTCATGAGAACGAAGGAGTCGAGTCGCATCCTTGGTTTCATGTGATTGCACCCGGTTGCTTGAACATGTTGCTGCTGCCTTGCAATTCATACTGAGCTGAGGTTCGATGTTCAGGCTGACGAGAACGGCAAAGCCGTGGCCGTAGCTGTAAAGCCGGTCCTGGGCAGGAAGCCAATAGCTCAGCTTGGCCCGATCATGTCCATCGACGTCCCATGTTCTCTGGAGTTCCTACACACCCTTCATACCATGACCACTGCATTTCTCGGCGAGAGGATGGAGGAAACTTGTGCAGAGGCCATACGATGTTCTTGGCCAGCGGCACCGGGGCTACGTAAGGCGTTTCGCCGAGCGCCTGGGCCTCGAAGTCTCGAAACCCGTAGACCATGGAGATCCGTGGAGACTGCCGCGGCTTTTTTTGCCGTTTTGCTTCCAGGTTGGGGCTTCCTCAATGCCGCCGCCTTCGACGGAGACCTCTTCGTTCACCGAGACAACCTCTTGCTTGAGACGGGCGCTCAGAGTCTCGCAGGTTGGAGGTGACTGGCGCTCACACACTGCTGTGTACCCTCACGTCTCCTTATGCTCCCATCAGGCCGGGTTCTGAAACTGGTGCAGACGGGCAGCCGATTCTCCGGACGGCCTGGATCTCACCGCGTTGCATCTACTCCTGTCCTGGTGCCTTGCTGCCCCCACCGACTTTGTTTTGCTGCCACCGTTGCTTTTGATGCCCTCACCGCTGCTTGCCACCAAGGGGCAAGTTGTGGAGTTTGACGTTGCCCTTGATGATCGCGGAAGGGCGGTTCGCAGCTTGGTTTGTGCGTTGGCACTCCATGTCTATTCCGTGCGTATGCGAGCAAGGGGTAGAAAATTGCTAGCACGAATTGCGCCACGCAATTTGAAGTCCCATCGAATGCTATGGGGGATCATCGCCCTCGTGAATGCGGAATATCTCCGACGGCCCGAGCAGTCTTGCCTGGCGCAGTGCCTTCCTGAGGTGGCGAAGCAAATCACCACACGAGCCTTACTGAGACCCGGCGATTGGATTGGCCACAGGCTGTAAGTGTAGGCGGACTTGTGCCTGCTTGACAGACATCTGCATGTGGACGCTTGCAGGTTGCGCGGGTACATCCGATCTTTCCAAGGCGTTCGGGCCCAAGAGCCGTGCCAGATGTTGACCATGGCCACAGTGAAGACATCAATGAGGCCTGGGGCTTCATCAACTCCGACCGATTTGCCGGGGATCTCTTCGTGCATCGCGACTCTTTGCTGGTCGGCTTAGCACAACGACAGTGGAAGGTTCGTCTGACAACCGGAAGTCTCCTTGTTAGGCGCAGTGCCAGAATGCGCAGCTGGGCCTGAGTACGGTGCACCGGGCTTTGTTCCTCTCTCACAGTACTTCCACACTCTTAAGCTCACCCTGGGCAGGTGGTAGAGTTCGACATCGAACGAGATCATCACCGCAAGGGAGCAAAGAATCGACTGGTGGCAAGGAGCACTTCAGTTGATTTCCCATATGATGAGGTGCCCGGGGTGTTTCCATGCATCTTTTGCAGTGGCAAGGAACGTAGCCGTTCTCGGTCCCCCGGAGGCGGCTGTTTCAATGCCGGCACAATCGTGAAAGTCAAACAGATGTTTTAGCGCTCGATAGCTCTTGTGTCGCAGGCTGCTCCTCATCCTGTTCCTGCACCGACGTGTTGGCCCTACATTACCTTGTGATATCGCGTGCATTTCCACCCGAGCAGTGCTGACATAACCCCTGCTGAGCTGCTTGAAGGAAGGGCTGCAGCATGAGAGGCATTCAGAGGGGTGGATTTGTCTCGTTACATGCCGGTGGATAGCCACCTGGGCGTTCCCACGCTATAGGAACGCAAGCTTCTTGACGGCACTTCCGCAGTTCATGGCTATGAAGTCTACAACGGGCTCGAAGATTGTTCGTGGTGTCTTGTTATCACGATGCAAACCTTGCAGGCCAGCACCAGCACTCCCTGGACCCGGGCAGGCCTTGTTAATGGCGTTTGCAGCCTTGTGAAGGCGAATGGAGGCGATGGGACTGGCGCGCTCTTTGGCCCATGACAGGCACCTCCAACCGATCCTGCACCCTTACCCGGTCTTCCACACCCGCATCCTTCACCTGCAGGCGACCCAGGTTGATGCACAATGTACAGAAATATCACTTGTAGGAGCGTCAGCAGGATGCCTCAGGATGCCATTGTCGGGCAAATCGGCACATCTAGAATCCGTGCGTTACCGTGCTTGATCATGCTTGATCTCATTCGAGTATATGGCTAGACACTTCACAGGAGCGCAAACAAGCTCTCAGATCCCAGTAGAGCAACCTGGGGTAATGTGTTTATGCTCGTGAAGGCTACTATGGGATTGTCGCGGCAGCAAATCATCCTGATCTGAACTGAGGCACCGCAACCTGCACCAATGTACTACCAGGCCCCAGCCAGATTGGCGTCCATTGCTTGCGAACCAGGACGCTCTGAGGTCTTGTGTCGTTTTGAGGCACCTCCACCTCCCGTGCCTGATCCGAGTTCTGCATATGGTTTCCGCCTCGAGAGTCTTCCTTGGTGTCGATATATCGGCCATGTCTTCGCATCTGTTGAGGCCTGCCGCCATACCCATATCAGCATCCATATCCATATCCGTCTGCACCTTGGTCTTGAAGGTCTTCTCAAAGGCCATACCGTGCTTGTTCTGGAGCATGATGCAGCATGTGTGTGATGCAGCAGCATCGCTGAGGCCTTCCCAAACGACGCCATATCCGCTTCCTTACACTCCGCCTGCAGGTGGAGCACACTACCCTTATGGACCTGCCGTGTGACGCATTGAGATGGATGCTGTGGTGCTTAATGGATTGCAAGTACTGCCGCTGTGCGGATGGTAGTCGCAGGACATCCGCCTTCGTTTGGGCAGCCGCTGCCATACCATCATTCTTATCCGTGCAGTCCTCAAAGTCGAAAGCGTCAATGAACGAGCACACCTGATGCTGCTGGTGAGGTCAACCCCGCATCCCGGCACGCCAACGCATACCAGCCCAGTTCTGGACCTGGATTCGGCTGCCGACGACATCTGGCAATGCATTCATACATTCGTTGGCCGAGGCTTCTGCCACACAGTCATCTGCCACGCAGCCAGCAGCCACGCTGGCTGCTGCCACGCAGCCGGCTGCCGTGCAACCCGCTGCTGTGCAGCCAGCTGCACTGCCCAATGGCACGCCGCCAAATACCACACAGCCCAATGTCACACCGACCAAGTCCAAACTGCCAGCACAAGTTGCTGCGACGCAGCCAACTGCCACACAGTCGGCTGCCGCACATGCCGAGACAGCACAGCTGGCTGCCACACAGCCCGAAGCTCTGCAAGCTTCTCCGACTGTGCCACAACCTGCTGAAGAGCACCGTGACGTGACTGCACAGCAGGCCCATTTCTGCTGCCAATCAACAGTGTGGCGAAGCATGCTGAAAGTAGTGTCATGTTCCGTTTTGTTCCTTTCCTTTCCTTTCCTTTCCTTTCCTTTCCTTCATGCCTGCATGAATGACTGGTGGCATACATCGGTCAGACCAGGAAAAGAGGCATGAATGGCATTGAAAGTCTCCTGGAATTGAGGGTGTGCAACAATTCTCCGGGCCAGCCGAATTATGCTCCGCTCAGTTTCGTAGTGTTGGTCTGAACTGCCGAAACGCTGAGCCGATGAGCCCAGTTTGAGCGCGCAAGATGACAGGCGAAAAGCCGATTCCGGGCGCCCTCGGAGTCTGGCACGGGGTCCGAAGCTGGGAGCTCAGCTCTCTGAGCGTCCACCCCGGTGCCCAAAGGTTGAAAATGGCAAGCAAGATTTCTGAGAACGAACCAATCATGAAGCTGCGGAGGGATACTGGTGCTGCACGCATTCGGTGTGAGTTGTTGTGTCGAGGTGGCTGGGGAGTCGACGAGCCCAAAGGCTGGCCTTCCGTGTCGCTGCAAAACGTCCAGCATGGGAAGATGCTTCAAGAAGTTCATTTGTCTCTCACATCCCCGCGTGCCGTGAAGCCACAGCAGGTTAGCTCAAACACTAATCGAAGAGATTTTTCCTCTGGCGAAACTACCTCTGGCGAAAGAGCAGGGACGCATTGACATGCGTTCTGTGCACACGTCCGTATATTAATGCATGTATACGCGCAAGCCGCACAGGCATTCACATGTTCGTGTTAGTGGCATCATGCAGATGGTTGTAAGACTAGACCTGTGAACGCTTGTGTTCATGCAGGGGCTTGCATTAGTGACTTTGTGCTGGGAGCGTTCGCGGTATGTCTCACCGCGCGTGATCGCGCGTGGACTCGACAGTTGATGAACAGTTGCACCACAACGAACCAAAATCTCACTGCTGCTTGGTCACAATGTCACAGAGTTTTTCACGCTTTCACCGGCCTCTTGCTGGTTCGGGTGTGTGTTCGGCTTAAGTTTGTGGTGGAGCATGCATTAGCATGGCCCCCCCGATATTCTGGTTTGCTTCTCGCCAGCTGATGTAGAAAGCAATTACCGGATTCACCGGCAGATGTTCATCTAATCGCGACTCGACGGCACATGCCTGACCGGAAGCTCCGAAATCACGACTGCACGAATTTATGAAGACCAACCTTTGCTTGCAACTTTCTGCGAAATCTGGATTTCTTGCGGTCTGAGCTTGAAAATCTTGAGGGCCGTGTCGCATCTTGCTGAAACTTCATTCCCCTGAGTGCATCACAACGTCGCGGATGCCCTTCTCTGGGCGTTGGCCATCTGGATTCCCAACGATGGTTTGGGAGGCGCTCCGAAGGTGATGGGGAAAGACGTCATATTGATTACCTGACCCACAGCTGTATTACCCCAGCTGCCGTCTGTTCATCTCTCCGTGTAGTTAGTGGTTCGCGGCCGGCATGCAATGACAAAGAGTGTGGTAGCATGATGGAGTTAATGCGTTGGGTTCTTACGTTGATGGTATGTCACGTTTTGTGGCTGGGCCAGCTTGGCACCCCTGTCTGGTCGGTGCCGCGGCTCCGGCTGTAGTGCAGAGCGCCACAATCCCCCAATAGTTTGGCGTCCATCACTTACCTCGTCAGGTTTCGTTTGGTCGGTGTTTCGGGAGCGTGTCGTTGTCTGTTCTGGTCAGTGCTTCAGTCGGTGTTGTGATCGGCTTGTTTGCTCATTGTCACCCTGCCCCGGTCCAGTCTCACTCGTTTGGTCGAGTTCCACTGGTGTCCTGGTCGCGTCTCGTCGGCGTGCCGGTCGTGTTCTGTCATGCCGTGTTCCCGTCCTGCATGCGTCGTTTTAGTCTGATCGGTGTTGTAGGCGGGGTTATGGTCGGCGTGTTGGTCGGTTGTATCGCCCCGGTCGTACTCCGGTGTTGTTGTCCCTGTCGCTGTCCCAGTCGGTGTCCGCGTCGTTTTGCTCGGTGTTCTGGTGCCGTTTTGGGGTTTCATTGTACTGGTATGTAGTCATTGTCCCGTCAGCAAAAGCGCACACAATGCAAACGGAATGGCGAGAGCACGATTTCAAGACTTCCGACCTTGGACAATTCTAAAGCACCTGATGATGGTGGTGATTACGAGATCATATCGAAGAGCCCGACAGCGCGGCCCTACCGTGATAAGTAAGGCTTCCGAGTGGCTTGAATGTGGCGGGCAGCAAGCACTCTGACAGGAGCACGATTTGCACCCTAAAATGCCGGCGGAGAAGCGAGAGCGAGGTTCACCAAGTGCGACAGTGGCCACGTGATACATGCTGAAATTTACTTACGAAGGCATCCAGGACGGGTCAAAGGTCCAATTGCCAAGGAGCACTCACACGCCACCGACCGGGACACAAACAAGACTCGATGAGAAATCGACCAAGGCACCGGCTACAGCATCGGCAAAACTTGCAAAACAGTGCCGACATCGGAGGGGCGGTTGACGCTTTTGGCTTAGTCGCGCTCCCACCACGGACCCGTGCAGAAGATGCTCTTGCGCTTTCGCCACAGAGCCAGGTGCAAT